GAGAGGGGGTGCTCTGGTGTACTTCTGCGTAATGGTGTTTGCATTGGGGTACAATCCTCGCGGAACAGTGAAAGAATGCCTCGATTCTTTAAATGGCAGGAATACGCCGATATTCCGGAACTCGGCTGACAAGAGGTTTTTAACGCAAAGCGGCGCTGGAAGTATTACTGAAATAACACTGATTCTATAAGTATCTTCAAATGATGAGATTCGTCTGTAGCAAAATCGTAAAAGAACATTATTCTGAATCATCAATGAACTGAATAAAATAATATGGAGGATATAAATATTTCATGATATATTTCTTCCATATTGACGTCACTAGTAGCAAATTAAAACAATTAAAATTATGTGCCAATACGAAACAGTTGTTGGGCAAGGGGCCCAGTACGAGAAAGAAGTGACAAATCAACAATGAACTCCATGTATGTATTAATTATTTCTTGTGAAAAACATTCATAAGTTTTCCTAAATCGCTCAAAGAAACCAGCAACGAAAACAGTAAAACGAATCTCTTCCTGAGACCATTAACAACGCTGCTTCCATTGTAGCCAAATTCATCTTGAGAACGAATCTTATCTATAACAAAAATAAATAATTGACAAAATTTTGAGAAGGTCCTAGAACACCTGGAATACAAGACCGTATTGCACAACGAGCCAGATTAAATTTTGTGAAAAACTGGGGAAGATACTAGATATTACATCAAGTATATACTCGGCAGAAGTGATGTTCTAGGAGATTACGATAGGTTAGAATATGTATTTGTGCCGTATTTTTCGGCATTCGGTATTAGTGGAAGATCCAGAGATAATCAAAGCAAAAAGCTTTTTTTAATCAAAGCTTCACTAGCTACTGGGTGGACATGGGGATTTCCAAGAGAGCCTTTTATTATTTAACATTTCTAGATACATTACCGGTAATGTCTTTTAAGTCAGCGTCCCGGCTGCAACGGCTCAGTGACAACATCCCGTGCATCTGGGGCATCGTTAGCCGGGTGTTCATAGGTTTCGTATGTCGAACTCTAGCTACGGTAGTGCTAAAAAAATCGCATCACTTTTCTCACAGTTGTAATCGGTAACAAAAACCTGAAAATACACCACTTGGTTTGCAAAATTGAGCGAGTTATGAAAGAAATGGAATTAGAAACATCACATAATTCACACACACACGTATAATTACCCATTTCTACTAATACTTGTTTAAAATTTTTGAGAGCTGATTAAATTAGGAAAATACAGCATGCCCATTTTCCTTCAATGGCGCGGTTTTTAGTACTATATAACACAGCTAGTTCGAATGCAACTATTGATTGAGAAAGATTTCTAGCGAATGACTGCTCTGATCGGTAGTTTTCATTGGTTTCTCCCCTCAATATCAGGTGGCCGCTGGAGAAGGATCCTAACACACGAACACGAGCCACGCGCGTCAGTCCTTCCTCCTCCTCCTCCTCCTCACCCCTCACGCGCTCTCTTACACTTACGAGCACTAAACTACCAACATGGCAAGAGATTACCTGGGAGACTGTCCCGACCGGACCGGTGCTCCGCCATGGGAGATACCTGGAGAGGAAACCCCATCATCAATTCCATCCCGAGATCGGCGACGCAGGGGGGAAATTGGCACTTTTTTAAGTACATTGTTGCCTTATTTTATATGTCGAGACTCAGGCCATGAGGACTGCTCTTCCGTCTGACCACGCAAATTTCGCTACGCTCCTTTCACCAACAACCAGAGAAAGGAAGTATTTCTTGGGCGACGAAACAGACGTTTTGAATTTAGCTTATACGATTCATTTAGGCTTGAGGATATTTTACATGCAGTAAATCTACTAACATGGGACAGCCGGCTTTACTTTTCCTACGAAAGAATGCGTACGAATGATTTTTTTGCCCTTCAAAATACACGGCTTCTATTAGACTTGGGTATAACAGCACGATACCACTAGTCAGTTACACCATCGCCGTCGCACACTTCACTATCTATAACATGTACTATACTTACGAGACTTATAGTTGTATGAGTTGATGCACCCCGAAACATTAAATACTCAATTGAAGTCAGCGGAAGTGGATTTCTGGTTAAAATTGTGAAGGTTTCTACATGTTTCTACATATCTGATTTTTTCAAGAGTAGGTGCGCAGTATCGAAGAGAATATCGGAGAGAAGGGGCAGTAGATTTAGACGAACCAAGGAACCTTTATTACTCAGTCACTCTTTGCGCGTTCTCTTCTCTTTCCTGCAAGTCAATAGCAATCGTGCAAGTTGCTGGGTTGAGACTGCGTAGAGGGAAAACGAGCTGCCTAAATGTACAAGTTACGCTACAGGTAACTCTCACGATCTGTTTAGTGGAGCTCTTAGGAGCAAATTATTAACAATTATAACTAGAACAAATGATTAATTATTAGAACTAAAATAGGAAATACTTTCATTGAACCTATAATCTCTTCTTCGTTGTACAAAAACACTCGGTCTTAAGAATAACTAAAAATTTTGCAATTTACAGTTGCGAAGCTCCTATACTTAAGTGCTTAACAATAACCTTCTTTTTGTTGGATTCAAAGCACTTTGCACATTTCATTGATTTCCCCTCCCATAGGCGCGTGTGAGAGGAACCGCTTAAATTCCAATCAGACGGAAGTTTTAAAGGCGGCCGTGGCTCGCCTGGCAGCCTTCTCGGGGCGTTAAACGGAGTGGGCGGCGGAGACCAATCAGCGCACGCTCTCGCTATCGGCGCCGAGAACGCGATTAGGGCGCCCAATTAGAGGATAACGCGCGGCCACCGCCTCCTCCACCCACCCCACCCCCGCCGCCGCGGCGATCTCCCACTAAGCCAGGGTTGTCCAACTGGCGGCCCGCGGTGCCATTTTTTGCGGCCCGCGAAAGGTTCTTAGTCAGAAGTGATCAGTCCCTCGCATCCCTGACGGGCGAGAACATCGTGCTTATCGCACGCATTCTGTCGTGGCCAACACCCCCTTAATGTAAATACAGGTCAAGTTAAAAAAAAAAATTTCGAGTAAATTCAGAAAATCAAAATCACCCCAATGTGCTTCCTACGTTATACATGGTACGGAATGGTATCACGCTCGGTTTCATTCCCTCCCTTTTTCAGAGCATCTGGGCAAACTGCCGAGATCAAATATATGGGTAGTCAGGTGTGGATCACCCTAGTACTTGTAATTTAAATATGGCCCGCAACCATATGGAGGCCTTGCAAGTTGGACAACCTGGCACTAAGAATGGGTTCGGCGCCATGCAGTGTACCGGGCCCATCGCCGCCTATGTTACGCCCGAGCCCTCTTCGCACAGCGCGGGGGCGTTGCGGGGGGAGGGTTCTCTTAAAATGCCGTGATCATCCTGTGCCAGGCGTGAGCACCTTACATTGCATTTCTTTCGCCTCCTTCCCTTGGGTCTAACTGACTCACATGTGCGCGCACATGGGGCTGCGCTGTAGAGGAAAGGGCCCAGGCTGCATCAAACTGATTGAAGATGAAAAATAGAATTTTGTAGATTGAGCTACGAAGTCAGGGGACGCACATGCAATCCGCAGCACACATTACGTTGCTCCCTCGCGCTTTGTCTAACTCGGAAAAAGCTTTTTTTGTTCCTTAAAACTCGGGTTTTGCAGTCTACGAAGGCACCGGAAGTAGTGTTTTTAGATCGTTATCTATAAAACGAGGATTTCTCTTTTAGCTCTTCTGGCTCTCCCTTTTTTCAAGCACGGGGGACAGTAACGTGCCCAATATCGACCCTCCATAAAAAATAGTACGAGTATATTGTGTATGTGATACTGTGTGCATCTTAATTAAAATGTGTCATGGTATGGCAGAATTCTTCTCAAATCCAACATTTCAGACCAGACTCCCTATGCTCACCTGAACGCCATTGGTATACGAGTAGCCTATTAACATTGTGCTTTGTCTAAAATTTATTGATTATTTTATTTACTTACGTATATTTGCAAGAGCATTTCGGCAGAGTGGATCACGTGCATAAAATTCAGACAAGAATTCAGAAAACGGACTTCTTTCGGAAATATTAATTCGCGAATAGAACTAATAGAGACTGGAACGGTTTGCCTGAATCAACCTTTGAACCCTTTCCTGAAAGCCTTAGCAAATTTAAAAATAAATTTGTTTCGTAGATGTTAATATGTGTATTACAAATATCTTTAATATTATTAAATAGCTAGTCTACTATGTAAAGTAAGTTGTATAATCACTATTATTATTAATTATGTGCAGTGGCTTTGTGGAGTTGAGGAAATCTAGTGTGTAAGAAAGACACAGCTCAGTGATCTGCAGTGAAGTGAAGTGTAGTGAGGTACAGTATTATGAAAGCTTCCTCGGTGAAATGTTCATGTTAATTTTTAAAGTTTGTAAATTTTGTAAAGTTGTTCCGTTCTGTAATTTTACTTTAAATAATCTGCCACGAAGTCTCAAACACAATTGCAGAAATGGTAATGAATCTAATCTAATACCTATTTTCTCGTATTCATCAATTAATATTGCCAAAACGCATAGAAAAACTGTACTTGACGTATGATTAGCATCACGTTGTACGCACGTTGTCTTGATCGTCTGTCAACGCATGCCGTATTACTCGCGCAAGCTTTCTTGATACACGAGCTCCCTAGTCCTCACCAGCGCTGAATAGCACGGCACGTTGAGATACTTAGATTCGAGTCGAAACGGCACGTACCTATTTACAATGCTGGCAACAACCACCTCGTACTCTCAAAACAATTCTAGCATTTCTCGTGGCACGCTTTGGGAGTTAAGTTCATGCTCACAGTTGGTACGCCCTTTTAAGCCGTGACGTAGCCAGCGCCCTCCTCTCCCCGCTGCGGAGTATCAAGAAAACTTGTGCGTATAGTGTGTGTGTGTGTGTGTGTGTGTGTGTGTGTGTGTGTGTGTGTGTGTGTGTGTGTGTGTGTGTGCGCGCTCTTTGCGCCGTGAGTAACGCGCGCCTCGTTGTGTTTCGCAGCCAACCCGCGCAAGCAGCGGCGCGAGCGCACGACGTTCACGCGCGCGCAGCTGGACGTGCTGGAGGCGCTGTTCGCCAAGACGCGCTACCCGGACATCTTCATGCGCGAGGAGGTGGCGCTCAAGATCAACCTGCCCGAGTCGCGCGTGCAGGTGAGTCAACGCAAACATTTTTTTCTTCCTTTTTGGGCTTAAAGCCATTTGTACCTCCTGTTCTTTAATAGTAGTTTACGTAACAATGACGCGAAACAGGTGATAAACGCATGAGTCGAGTGCGGGAATCACCTCGCGTCCGTGTTGCCAATACATTTTTAACACGCCAGAGAGCGAAATGCAATGTCTCAAGAAAATGCTTATAAATTAACTATCAGATAACTAGAAATGCCTTATTTGTACAAAAGTAAATGTGTTCCAGTCAATGTCGTAACACTGTTGTTTGTAAATAATAATCAAAGACGTCGTCAAGACAAAAGACAATTGTGAATCGTTGCAGATGTTTCGCACACTGTGTAAAACGCGCATGGAAAACATTTTTTTTGTATTATAAACTCTTCTGTTGCAATAAATCTTTCCTAACGTGGCTCGTTTTCAAAACATGTACTCATTAAATAAAGCTTAACATCACAAAATAATTTAATAAAATACTATTTTGATTATATATAACGAAGTTCAGTTTAAGTTATTCTTTGATACAAATAGAAATGGGAGGAAGTAGAATAAGAGAGAAATGAGAAATATTGGCATTATTACGAAGTGCGAATGACACAATTATAACCCAGTACTGCGTAGGAGTTGCAGCAAATTGAATGAATTGACTACTATTTATATGTAGGGGTGGCTCAAATATTAATGCTTTAATCTTTCGCTATTACGAAGGTAGAGGAAGGTCGCAGACCTACCTTATTTCACCTCGAATTCTGTTGAGATTTTTGGAAATGTGTTTGGATATGTATTTCTGATGCGAGTAAGATGATTGGGATTTTTATACAGAATGAAGTTGTGTAATAGATTCATAATTTAATTTATTGTGATTAATTTAGTGGTTTGATATGAACCGAGTTGCATTGGTCATGATTTGTAGAATTGATTTTTAACTACTTGGAATTTGTTCGTTTTTTCAGATGTTAATTCATACTGGGTATTCGTATAGGAGTCTTATTACGGTTTTATATAAAAAATGTGACGTGTTACAGGGGATATGTTGGCTCCTGTTAATTATCGTTGTAATTGCGGCAATTAGTTCTTAGTTTTCATGACATTAGTATCTATGTGTTGATTCCCCAGTTCGTTTTGGTGTCACGTGCAGTCCTACTACTAGGTTTTCACAAGGGTTTCCAGGGAATTAGCTCATTACTTAATATTAGTGATTTTTTAGAGAAATGTTCAGCCATAGTGAGCTGTTTTGCAGATGTTTTATATTTGTTTCATTTTATATTTAATTTGGGTTCTTCGCCGATTATTAGATTTAAACAGATTTGTATATTGTTTTTTCCATGAGGTGAATGGTTGATTGTGAATGTGATTGAGGCATATGAAAACTGTGCTGTTGTTATAACTAAAAGTTTGAGGATGTCTATAGTATAAATTCTGTAATGCGATAGAAAAGGGGTGTCTTTGCGGTCCACCTGAATTAATTAGTTTCGTACCTATAGTTTTTAAACACCACTAGATTTGCTTCAGATTAGAAGATAAACCGTCTGTTATATGTGAATCTCGTAAAAAATTGGTTTGGTACCTGTGCCTTGTAATACTGGTCAGCTGCTAGTGTGCATTTTCTTTTCTGTCGTTCAATCTGATGGATCTAGGTGTTCGGTATCTAGGACACGGGAGAGGCCTATTTACAAAACGTGGTATTTATAACGTTCTAAAGTATTACTATATCGATTAGTAGTTTTCTAATTTGGCTCGGAGGTGTCTTTTAGTCCTGACTCTCTTTTACATACCGCAAATATGCCGCATGGAGCGAAAGCTTCCCTTCCCTTCCAATAGAAATCAATCGAAAAGTTTCTGTCGCTCGGAATTAATGTAAAACATGATGATTACGACTATTGATGTTCATGCTATTCGGACACGATGCAGTCGCACGCACAGTGCATCAGATGACCGGTGCATAGCCCCAAGAAGACACGCCCGGAGACGATCCCATGCATTTTTTTCTACTTCATTTTCACCGTAGATATCCCACTCCATGCATGCATAAAGTGATCGCATTTGCAAACATTCAAGATCAAAATTATAGCTCTGAGGAGAAACGGAACATGTCTGTGACTTGATCCCTTCCTCCGCAGTACAGCTTCTTCTCATGCTGAATCAATTGGTAGTTGTATATTTCCTATTAGATGTCTTCTCAACTTGCCTTTGTCTTTGTATGCCTACATGTTCTGTATAGCACTGCCACCGAGCGACAGCTCATTACTAGTAATAAATATTATTATTATTATTATTATTATTATTATTATTATTAAAATAAAAAATAGGTTATGTCAGGTCTTAGTTTACAGCACTGCCGTCAGAAGATTAAAAAAAAGTATCACCCATCGCTCAGATACTGTAGCATCATATAATTGGTAATTAAAAACATCTTTAACAAATAAATTGAAAATAAATAACGAATTAACAACAAATAAATTTAAACTGCAATAAATTGATGAATAATGTAATATCATTTTACGTTATAATGTTTCAAGATATTTTTACTCCCGTATCTTTTGAAGAGGAGGGCCAAGGCTATGAGACCCATGGCCCACATCGTGAGACGCCCTTGCGTCGCAACCGCCGCCCCTTCCCTCCCCTTCCGCCCTTCCCCCTTCACCCTTCCCGGCACGGGGTCCGCAAGATAAATGGAGCGCCACAAAGGATCCGAGGTGGCGTTTTCGCCCGTTTTGTCGGCGCTGCTCCGCTGCGTGCTCAGGCATACGCCGGGCACCCGGCGAGCGCCAATTTGTCACCAATGCCTCCCGCGCCCCCACCCCCCTACCCCCCACCCCCACCCCTCCCCCTGGCGAGAGAAGCTTCACAACCTTGTACGGACTACTCTTGCGTTTTATTTCTGGGCGCGCTCCAGGGCTTGCCTTCACTAGCGGAATATCTCAACGCCAGCTCTGTTCGATACGGTCGCGTATCTTGGCGACATCTAGCGGCCACAAACGGACCGACGAAAGATGCAAATAACACGTGAGATATCCCATCGTGAAGACAAGACTTAGCGGCCACCGCCAGAAATAAAATCCTTAAAATATATATGATATACACGCTGGTCTTTCCTTACAATCTATCTATTTTCGATTTGCCAAAAGTAATGAATTCTATCTGTTACAGTAAATGTAATTTAAACAGTGTTCATGGACAACGCCTTCCTCCGTCCCCCCCACTCCTGTCCCCCCCCCCCCCCAAGCTCGCACTGTCCTTCCTTCGCCCGATCATCCGTTCACACGTTCAACCACCCGACTCCAGGTCCCTAAGTGGCAACTTCATGTGAATTTTTTACATCAACAAATATCGGCAAAACCATAGGAAGAATAGTCCAATAGTTCTCAAGGAATGTGGCGCGAAAATAATTCATATGAAAAATATTTTCATATTAAGCTTTGAGACTCTAAGACCACTCAATTGTATCATATATCTCAAATTTACAATGTTCCATCAATCGTAATATTTTAAGGTGATTGGAAATGTAGGCGACTACTTTTATTCGGTAATTCATTAGAAACATGATGCAGTCCAAAGCAATCAAATTCTTCAACAGCAGACGACAGTTCTATTTCGTTGTTGTTGTTTTTTGTTGTTGTTTTTTTTGTTGTTTTTTTTATTGTTTTTTTTTGTTTTTAATGTGCGGCAATGCTGAAAATCTTTTTTTTATACAGGTTAGTACGTAGTTAAAACTGTATGTAGTATAGAGAGATTTTGAAATCCAAAAGCAGTCACATGTAGACCCACTCTGCGAGTGTACGGCAATGTTCCCAAAAACGAAAAAGTGCTCCTGCAAGCCAAAATGGTTTCAGTCGATGACTGACATAACACAGATGCTACACGAGCGACGATATGAACACTTGGACGATAGCAACATCCACCACATTGATTCAACTCACGCTCTATTTCTCCGACATCAATTTCCTGCAGATTTCTCTCCCGTTGGATTAGCGATTCCCAGAAAACTTGCGATCCCAATCCTTCCGGCCCCGCAACGGCGCACGCGGGTTTGATCACGCGCACTCGCCTGTGGGCACGCGTGCGGCCGCCGCAGGAACCAATTAAAATGCCATTTCGCCGCTGCACCGCTGCTGCACGCGCCGTGCCGCTGGCGGCGGCGAGAGGAGAGTTGCGTATAAATTGGGCGCTGAATAATAGACGAGATATTCATGTGGTTCACACCGGCCGCGCCGCACGCCCGGAGGCTGTATTATAAATGCCATTTCAATAAATGAGCCCGCGACCGCGATAAAAACGCGGCTGCAAATTGAAATTGACACCAGCGACCAAGAAAATTGAATTGGCTTTTGCGTTGGGCGGCGCGGGCGAGTGGGCGTGGCCGAGACGACTCGTGCGCGCTGTCGGCGCGGGCGACGGCCCTCGGCTCGTGCCGCTGCAGCGTGCGCCCGCGTGAACGGTAACTAAAAAACGTTCAATTGGGGAATTTGGACGCTCTGTGTTCGTGTACGAATGTGTTTATTTGAAAACCTGTATGGACCGACATGAAAATAGCTCAAGTCTGTTTCAACACTCGCACCAATTGATTAGTTACACGCCAGGCTTCATTTCTGGCAGAACGTGGCGGAACGGAGTTTCGGCACCTCGGGAGTATATTGTTAAATGTATTATTAATATGTAACGAATTCTGTCAAATTGATAATTAATTTGAAGCGCGTTCCGGTACCTAAAATTGTATAAATTAAGCATTGCTTACAAGTATATGGACGTTTATCTAGATAAACTATAAAATATCTTAGTGAAAATACCATTGAATATACATGGGAAAATCTGCGTGTCATTTAATTCAGACTGATGTTTACATGAGGTAAATGCATTTATGTTGTAGGTATTTATTTTCCAATGATCGGCGCCCAATAACGGCACACAATTTTCGCAGCTCCAAATCCTTCTTCCAAATGAAAGAATACTCAAAGTAATTCCTGACAATCAGTGATAATCTTTGA